CCTTTTGAGTGTTTTCCAATTCAGCCATTGTTTCTTTCAATTTCCCTTCTCTCCCAATAGCCAGAAAACTCATAATTAATGGCAGCTCTTTTCAACACTTCATTCTCTTTGACAAGCTCATGGACTCACTCCCATAGAGACTTATTCAATTTGCACGCTTTGACCCACTTGCTGAATATGGTCTTGTAAGCTTCCTGGATGGTATTAACAGTCAAATCCCCACCATCACTATTACTATCAGAATCTGAATCGGATCTGTCTTCTATGTTGTTTTTAAGATCTATTGTAGAAGATGTTGTAACCTTGTCTCTGACACTATCTGCAACACTGTAGCCAGAAACCTTTTTATCAGTATAAACTTTGAAAGCAATATAATTACTCACATAATCAGCACCATCAACCTGGCTCCCTTCAGAATCTTCATCACTCCATATGGATTTGAGAGACTTCTTTTTCTTCTTGAGAGTATTGGCACACTCAGATTGAATGTGTCTGTAACCATCACATTCCCGACATTAAATTTCTCTATTTTTTGTCTTTGCTTCTGAGCGGGTTTCTGCAGCTTCATTCTTCTAAGAATTATTAGAGCTACTGAAGATTTGTGTTTTGTTCTTCTTAACTTCTTAGTGACATCAAGTAGTGGGGGCATGTGACCGAACCTTCTTCCATTAGAAAGTCCATTCATGCGATCACAAATCTATTCCCAAAATCTCACCAAGCAAACGGTTAGTGAACCGCTTTGATACTACTTGTTACATCTATTTTTTACGCAGGTGTTACAGAGTGTGTTATAATACTTTCTGGAACATAGATGATTAATTAATTATGGATTAAACAACATCCAATTAATTGAGCAGGAAAATAAAAAAGAAATAGAGAATATCAGAGGTTGGTATCGCAGTTTGGTTCAAAAATCTAGATCTGCGGGGCCACGCCCAAACAGTGAACAGTCTACAAAATTTTAAAGAATTACAAACACCAAGCAGACTCATACACTCAAAGACTCCAACCTTGACATTGTCGCCGCCGTGTCGAATCTCCTTAACAGCCTTGTCCAGTAAGCACGACTCATCTTCAAACTGTAGAGTGAAATCTTGTCGGCTGGTAGTGTGCTTCCTCCCGAAAGCTTCTAATCCTTCTCCCGAAGGACGATCTTCAATCAACACTCAAGGCTCA